TGTCACGTCAACACATTCCTACCCCTTCCTTTCTTGACCTGTGTTCGGGTGCGGCCGGCGCTGGTATTGCCTAGTTTGAGATCACCAGTTTTTACACATTGAGGATGATTGCTAGTCCCAAGCATCGTCTTTTGGTTCTCTGTGTAACCGTGGGCGGTCAATCATGCTCATGCTCATGCTCATAACATCCAGGGTATTACCAAGCCAGCCATCCGTCGTCTGGCTCGCCGTGGCGGTGTCAAACGTATCTCCTGTCTGATAGAATAGGAAACACGAGCCGCAGACAGACGTTTAAGTTCAAATTCAATTGTCTGTAAAACAAATGTTAAAGTGGCAATATGTCAGAATTTTGTGTTTTGCATGTGTGAGTGCGACTCGAAGCATAGTTTGGGTCAGAAGTCAGGTACATGATTTAATTCTAACCTCAATTTACTCACCCGCTCCCTCTCGTCATACAATCCTTTTTCGTAAGTAAATCGCTGTGTTGAGATAAAGCTGTTTTCGGTCCTGAGCGATATTTCACGCGCGGCGCGAGATTTTTCGACGGAACGAGAGGGGAACAAGTACTAATTCTCTCTCTCATGCCAACGCAAAGATTTTCTCCGCTAATGCACGCTCCCGTTCTAATGGTAACAATTTTTGTGACTTAGAAACGAAAACTTGAACATGATTTGAAAGCATTTTGCATTGAAGTGGAGATATTTCTTTCCAGTATCCAGTCTCCGTTTTTACGTAGGAATCCATTTTACCAACTAAATTAAATGTAGCATAAATCTATTGGACCTCGTCTTGCACATAAGTAAATGCATAGTTAAAATAAATTCAAACCAATGTAAACAACATGTAAACAATGAGTTCTTTCGATGATGTCTTGAAAGTCAAGGCTCGCCCACGCAAATCAACATCACCATCAGGTAGGGTAAGACTTACCCTACTCGACGGAAATGTTGGTTTGCGCGGATGTGCCTTGAATTCCTAGAAATCATCGAGAGAAGTCATTGTTTACAAATGCTGTTACGGCCTTAGCTCTATCTAGATATGTTTAAATCTAACATACCATGTATTTTTAGACAACATTTGGGGTGCAATTTCAAAAATCAAAGTCGGTCGTGGCATGGAAGTGGTCTGATTTTGATCCAGAGATGATGGATTTTAATTCTTAATACGCCAATCGATAGGATTTTTTTCTATGAATCATTTAACACTTTATCATTTTTCAAAATGTCACTATTGAAACTTGCACGCATGTGCAACTATTGCTATTATAATTAAAATTTTCACCGGTTGCCTGCGACACACAGATTTCAAAGTTAAATTCCATCCGGTCTCACTAAACGGTGTTTATTCAATCAAATGTACTGTCTGACTTTATCTTTTGATTTTTCAATCGTAAATGCTTCAAATTTGTTGGTTGACGTGTGGAAAAACCTCTATTTGGCCAAATGTCCATTCGGTGAGTCTTATATATGCACATTGGCCATACGGCGTATCGTCTATGCATTAGTATATTTAGTATTCATTTCTGAAGGACTTGCTGCCACTTTTTATTATCAGGCTTGCAATTGCTCATTACAGCTAAAATGCAACTTTTCGTAATTATGAAACTATGATTCATAATGATAATTTTGATTTGTAAGAAACAACAAAAGGTCGTAAAGTTCGTGTATGACATAGAAAATTTGACAATTTTGCTTTCACAAGGTCACAACTAGCGATTTTATGATCGCTGATTGCTCGCTCATCGCGTTGCTCATCGTTACAGCTAATCCCTATTGTGACCTTTTGAAAGCTAAATTGACAGGTTTTATGTGTCATAGACACACGTTACCTTCTCTTCTTGCATCTTGTAAATAAGAATTATCATGAAAATATTTCATTGCTTCATAAATCCGAAATATATCATTTTAGCTGTAATGAGCATTTGCAAGCTTGTTTATTTTAATGGAATGGTATTTTTTGCTGGATCGTCTATTAATTATGTCACACTTTTAGGGGGGATGGATGTGACGAGCCATACAAAAAAAAATTGATGGTCCATAAAAAAATGTGACTAAGGGGGGAGGGGTTTTGAAAATGGGCCAAATTTGCGTGACATAATTAATGGATCTTCCCTTAGGATGCTTTATTTTGAAAAAAAAAGAGACGAATTTCTGATAGATCTAGTTCAATTCATAATCCCAAAAAATGAACCTATGCTAAAATTCCTAAAGATTGATGCAGGTTTAGAGGCCGTCTCAATGATTTGAATGGTGGATGAATTTAAAAATATCACTTATATCGCTCTTACTTTGGTACTACTTAAAAATCAGTATTTTGTTGCTATGGCAATGACAAAAAATCTTTTGTCCAGTGTCACAAAAAGCCTTCGATCAGTTTTACCACAGAGAACAGACATCCAAGTCAAATTCAAAAAGTGTGTAAGACATTTAACTGCTATTTTGAATAGACATTTGAAACTAGCAATATCGTGGTGGCACTAGTGCTGCTGCCCATCGACGTCGATGACCGGCAGACTTCATCTTAACATAAATGTCAACATTGTTGTGAGCAAAACATTGTTTGTTTAAAACCGATCAAAACATGGGCCACAAGCGCGAGTTTTATTGGTACGCAATTAAACAAGGTGTTACCAAGCGAAAATCTTTTCACAATTTTCCAGTTCCAACCCAGCGCGAAACCGAACTATTTGTCAGTGTGAACCTCAACCTGAACTAGGTTTTAAAAACAAACGAGCAAACTGACGTTTGTCAGAAAGCAAGCAGACCCAATATTGATGCCCGATCCCGGTTGGAACTGAATAATAAACGAATTCGCTATAAGGATGCTGAATTGCCCGAACTACAGGAGATTTTGTTCTCACGTGGAGTCCAAGCGCTTACAATGAAAATTTATGTTCCGACCACTTCCCCAGGAGGCTTTTCGAATTCCTGGAAGAACGGATGCAGAGTTCATATCTTATCACATTTTTTCTGAATTTAAATGAGGGCTAATTCGGAGTTCATACCCTCACTAAATCATTTGAAGATACGCCGCCAGTGAATCATGAAAAGTCAGCTTTGCTCCTGACTACTAAAGGGTGATACGGTCAAAATTTGGTCAATATCAACTTGACGTATTTCTTTCAATTTTGCATTTAAAAAACCTGAACACCCCTCATTTTGAAGGTGTGTGTGTGTAGAATGTAGCTCCTATTTTGATTTTGGAATTCACTCTTCAGTTGTCAAAATGCCGTCCAAGCAAGAAGAGCAGCGTATCAAAATTTTGCTCGCGCATCGCGAAAATCCGAGCTACTCGCACGCAAAGTTGCCAAAATCGCTAAAAGTTGCCAAATCAACCGTTACAAATGTAATTAAAGTGTTTGGGGAACGTTTGTCGACAGCCAGGAAGTCTGGATCGGGGGGAAATCGAAAACCGGAAGCCGCTGAGACGACAAAGAGAGTTGCCGGTAGTTTCAAGCGAAACCCTAACCTCTCTCTCCGAGATGCCGCAAATAAGCTGGGTGTATCGTCTACAACCGTGCATCGAGCCAAAAAACGAGCCGGACTATCGACTTACAAGAAGGCATGACTCCAAATCGCGATGATAAACAAAATACGACGGCCAAAGCGCGATCCCGGAGGCTGTACACGACGATGCTGACGAAGTTTGACTGCGTGGTAATGGACGACGAAACCTACGTCAAAGCCGACTACAAGCAGCTTCCGGGACAGGAGTTTTATACGGCAAAAGGAAGGGGAAAGGTAGCAGATGTTTTCAAGCACATGAAACTGTCAAAGTTCGCAAAGAAATATCTGGTTTGGCAAGCCATCTGTACCTGTGGCTTGAAAAGCAGCATTTTCATAGCTTCCGGGACTGTCAACCAAGAAATTTACGTGAAAGAGTGTTTGAATACACGTCTGCTGCCTTTCCTGAAGAAACACGGTTGTTCCGTACTGTTTTGGCCGGATTTGGCATCTTGCCATTACGGTAAAAAGGCCATGGAGTGGTACGCCGCCAACAACGTGCAGGTGGTTCCCAAGGACAAGAACCCTCCCAACACGCCAGAGCTCCGCCCAATTGAGAAATACTGGGCTATTGTCAAGCGGAACCTAAAGAAGACCAAAAAAAAAACTGCTAAGGGCGAGCAGCAGTTCAAGGCAAACTGGCTTTCTGCGGCAAAGAAGGTGGACAAGGTGGCTGTACAAAATCTGATGGCAGGGGTCAAGCGTAAGGCCCGGCAATTCGGATTTGGAAAAGCGGAAGCCTAACTGAATATTTTTCCTAAATTTTACACTAATTGAACTTGAAAAAGAAATTTAATTTGATTTTTTAAATAAACGATTTCACCGATTTACACGCGTTTTCCCTTGACCAAATTTTGACCGTATCACCCTTTATGCCCAGTTAAAATTGGAACGAAAAACGGTTAAAGATCTACAGGAAACTGTAAAAGAGCTTAGTTTTTTATTCTAAAATAATGTTTTGTCTTGTTTGTTTTGAACAGCTTTGACATTTAATTTGTTCACACGGTCAATAAGATCAACCCAAATTTTAGTTCAGTTTACTCATTAATACCTGATAACTCGAGTCACAACATTTCGTATGGCGGCGCTAGTGTTTCTAACGCATTTTAATTTGAATTCTTACACATAATTTTTCTAAAAAATTGTTTAAGCTTGAATGTCTGTTCTCTGTGGTTTTACAGCATATCAAGAAAGATAGAATCGCGAAAAAAATACAAAAGAGGTTGATTGACAAATCAATATATGCCAATTTCATAACAACAACAACAGAGTTATTTAGTTAGAGCAATTTAGGTGAAAACCAATCATTTTCCCATACTATTTCACCGAAATCTCCATAGAAAATTCAAATTATTGATGCAACTTCTAAACCTTCATCAATCTTTACCATTTTTTGAACACGCTCATATTTTGAGGTTGGCCTATCAGAATTTCATATTTTTATTTTCAAAATGAATCACCCTAATATACATTAATCTTACCAAACAACGAACTCACCTCATAGAACAGGAAAATACTGACGAGAACCTGGATAAAATTGTACACGACCAGCGTCTTCTGCATCTGGAACGGCTTCCGGTTGGCCATGTACTTCGGTCCGAAGTTGAGCACAAAGTACAGGTAGCTGGCAATGATGGTGAGGCCGGGCACCGGCGACGAAATCAACGGCCAGTGGTTCGTCCGCGGATCGGCCAGATCGGTGAAGATGAAGTCCCAGTAGTTGGTCGTCGTGGAGGTATTCATCGTGGCCGACATTTTGGTTTTTTTGCTTTTGTTTTGGTTGGCTGGTGAAAACTTAATTAGTGGGAGAGGGCGAGTTATGCTGGTAACTGGCGGTCACTGGTAAGGTAGTTTCCTTTGAATTGGAAGTGTTCTCGCTCTCTGGCAAGACGAAGACTGATTCAGGCTCGTCTTAGCTCAGTCGGTTTATGATAATTACGCTAACTACGAGTAATTGACATTTGGTAACTCTAAGGCTGTCGTGTATCACACACGTGGAAGAACTCGATTCGATTCTGGTTAAAGGCTTTCGTTGATTATCTGTTCGAGAGGGGGGTGAGAAGAGAAGATGAACCCGTTAGTGAATATCCAACTAGAAAAGCAGGAAGATGATTCAGGAAGTAAGAATCGTGCACGAATGCAGAATTGATGTGACAGACGCCGTAGAAAGCCACTTCCTGAAAGTGAACCCGTTTGGTTTCCGATAGCTGCAAAGTATTTATGTAGATAGATTAATTTCTGAGCGAATGAGCGCTGTGTCACCCGCCTCTTTTAGGGTGTAGGAGTCCTTCGGAATACCAGTTACGGATTGCGCTGCGGTCGATGATGGAAATACTCTCACAGAGCATATCTGTGCTAATAGGACGAACGATCACTTCGCACTCTCGAGAAGGTTCATAGGGTGGAGAACTACTTCGGCATAAGTGCCCATTTCCGTCATAACGAACATCCAATATGTCAAAGATTTCGACGTGAACGAATCAATCAAACGTTTGGTACGATTGTTTAGCTCAAGAACTTCAAAACAAAAACATTATTGAAACGTCACAATGTGTTTGGACGGAATTGAAATTCGTATGACGGAATTGTGTGATGGATTTGTGACTTCTTTTCAAATGTAAGGGGTAAAGTGCGGGTCGCGATTAGTATGACGGCGATTAGTTCTTAACCCTACCTGCCTATCATAACACTAAACCCGTGCGCGCTCATGTGGTTGGCATTGAATGGAATACCTACAAGCGTTCGAATTAAGCTCATATGTCTAAAACTGGTATGTAGCTATGCTTTTCTGCATCAACTCTCGGATAGAGACGAACATTTCCTTTTGCTTGAGTCAGCGTGAAACGAGGCAAAAACAACACAAACTGACGGCGAGTGCCGGGCGGGCGACACCGACGGAACGGTTCTGTTTGTTTTGCGGTTTTCGTCTGGGTTTTGGATCGGTTCTATGCGTGTATACTGCTGGTAGAGTTAGAGGGGGATAGAATGTTGAGTGCAAACAACTTTCAATTATGTTCTGCTGGGTGCAAGCAAGTATCAAGTGACCAACTCGAGTGCATGCAGTTTAGAACTTTGTCGGACAGGTAAACGGTGTTGCATTCGGGTCGTCGTAGCACGAGAGAACGAGGTTGATTTTACAGGTCCGTTAACCTTGAATCGTACATTTTTTGCTTGAGGTGAATTTTCTATTTTCGAGAAGTTAGCGAAATAAGTAATTGTATTTGCCCCACACCTATCATTTAAAACTGTATTGGTCAAAAAAACCAGCTTCTGGAACGCTGCAACGGAAAGTGCACCTGCTGTTTGTCGTTCGCGTTCCACTTGTGCCAAAGTCAAATGCTCAAGCTCTTCAAATTCTACAGTTGTTCTGGGCTGCTCCGAGGTTGCTGCTATTCAAACCCAGTAGATCGCTCTTCATCAACTGTCACACATGAATGGAATCGTGATTTTGCACCGCTTAAAACGCTAATGCTCATCGTTTCCTTCTAGAAACTGAAAACAATTACACGATCACGATCATTTGTAATCTGATCGGACCTTTGAGCCTACTCGCTTGCACACCTACCCTACAACACAAACTGAAACTTAATAATGACTCTTAGATGATATCTTAATGGTGGTGTTAATAGAACCGCTTCTAATCGAATTATTGCCGTAACTGGTGGAGCCGTGAAACTCAGAGCCGCTACCGTAGTCCAGCCTTGCGCTAATTTGCAACCATCTAACCATTCTTAGTTCCTATTGAAAACCTCTGAGGAAGGTCTCCGGTGGCATTACTACTCAATCAGAAAACCCGCACTTCACATTTACAATTGCATAATGAACCCATCCTGTATGTGAGCTACCGGTTTGCGCATACCCAGATGCATGCCATATAAAACCTTGAAGTTTTGTTGACATTTGCAAAAACCGTGTGTGTGCATAATCAAATGCTCCAATACTACACCGCAGCACCGCAGCACCGCGTCGTTGTTCCAAAGTGGCCAACCCAATCAGTTACGAGTCTTGCTGCATAACCGGTTCCGATCGAGCTTTTAGTTAGTGTATGCAAAACATCTTGATGGAATTCATGCATGCATTAGCTCTTATGAATGGTTTTAACACGGTCGGCCGTTGCGCTCCAGTGCGTGGTAATCGTCAAATCAATCAACCCTAATTACCGAGTTGTAACCGTGCAGCGACCCTTCTGGCAACTAATAAAGTGCGCACGGTACCGATATCTGCACAATGTTTATCCTAAGCTGCGCTTTGAACGGCATTCTCATGATCTAATGATCTGCACGTCGCCGCCGCCGGCCGCCCGGTCGGTAGAGGCACGAGATGACATTGAATCCGTCGTACCTGAGCTTTCCGCGCACCACCACCACCGCAACCGCAGCGATCTTAGAGGAGAGTCGTGACCGTTTATGCATTTGCTACCAACCATCTGCTGCCACCGATCGCTCGACGGTAGGCACTTCTGTTGTGTTGTAGCTGTTCCTTGGGTCAAATATGATCATACACACCATTAAGTGGCAAAGTGACATGCAGTGTACATTTACCCGGAGGCGATGGAAGTGATGAGTTGGGTTTGTTGATTCGTAGGATATTGATAGAGAGTTCTTCGACCGCATCTATGGGCAGTTTTCGAGGTGAGAAGGTTATGATTTCAAATATGGTTGGCTGAATCTGGCATTTTGCATGGTTGAGGTCTAATAACCCACAAGCAAGGTTTTGTCCCAATTTGTCGAAGTCTTAGAATCATGACTTGTTATGTCTCGATTATGGGACCTGGAAATCGAAATCTTGATAAGTAAAGTTATAACTGAATTATCTTAAGATTGCCTTAGCGATGTTCACAGGATTTATTGGAAATTCAGCTTGCATGTTCTAAATTTGTTTACACCTACAGGGAAATTAAAGATCCATTTACATATTTACATGAAGGTATGCATAATTGCAATGTTTGACCCAAGAAACAGATTCTGTAATGTGTTCGATGGAGAGGTTTTTTTTTTAAATAATTTTGTATTTTTTATGTTATCTTAATCTTCGAACAGAGTTTGTTTTCTCAAATGTATTGAGCAATCCCCTACGAATTCGCAAATCGGTTTGTTTTGGTTTTTCTTAATTTAGTTGAAAATTTGCGGAAACGTTCCTTTTGACCGACAATGCCATTTTGCATCTTCATATCACCATTTTGAATCCAGCCTTATTTTTGAAATGGGCATATAGAAAAATATCAAGCTTATCTCCAGAAATTTTTTACTCGAAAACTGTTTGTCCGATCGGTTTGGTGTTTTCAGCAATATTGCAGGTAATAGATGAGACTATTTGAAAAAAAAAAAATGCACTCCTGAAAAATTTACACAATTTTTTTTTAACTTCAATTTAAGTCTTAAAACCAATTTATCTCATAAATGAATTTGTTGTATTTTAGTGTATGTTTTAGTGGACAAAAATGCCATCTATTGCACTATAGGTCAAGATAGAGAAATGATCGACAAAATCGTTCTGATTTTTTAAAAACTCTAGTTGGTAAAATTACTGGTTTGACCTAAGTAAAATTTTGCTACGTCGCACCGTTTTAAAAATGTAGTGGTTCGGAAGTAGATATGTTTAAAAATGTTGGTAGTTTTTGGTCATTTTTAAATGTATTTCGCTCTCCAGTTCGAATTTTTTTTTCCGAAACATCAGAAATTTTTACAATGAAAATGCTCTTGGTGGCTCATGGATATGATCTAAATTATCTGGAATGTGTATGTTTTAAAACAATTTATTTTCTTGCAAATACATATTTCGCTCGTTAGCATATGCAAAGAACTTGTAATTGCGATTTTTCGAGAATGATTCAATTTATTTTTACATTGTTAGATTGATATAGTTGTAATAGAAATCCATACTTTAATTTTTAGTAATATCAACAATTTTCTTTTCATTATTACAGTTTGAAAAGTGTCTGACTAGTATTTGTCTTAAGAAATAGGAATAAATGAGTGGTATTTTTGGGTCCCTTGAATCGTTATAGCCCTTGAGTATTGTTCGTCGAGCTCGTACATGTAAACCCATACTTTCTTCAGTTCCTCGACTGTCTTCACTACCTTAGGTCGTTTAAGAAGGTGCTGCTTCATAATCGCCCAGTACTTCTCGATGGGGCGGAGCTCCGGAGTGGGGAGGGTTGAACATTTTCGGCACGAAATTGACCTTATTGTCCGCATGCCACTTCAGCACGTCCTTGGAGTAGCGGCATGAGGCCAAATCCGGCCAGTAGATTGTTGGGACGTTGTGGGCCTTCAGGAGAGGAAGCAGCCGCACCAACAGAATATGATGATTACAATTTGTCTAGGGCTGCTTCAACATGATGCGTTGAGATTTCGAAGGTACTGAATTCAATTGCATCCCTTGGAGTACCATCGAGAGCAGCAACTATTTGCGAGTCCGATTTGCTTTTTTCTTGTAGCGTACTAGTACACCTGTCTTTGAGACGCATCTCCACATCCAATCTATTTTCTTTTCTTTTGGAATTAACGAAAGACCAAAACCGCTTCGGGTTCCTACGAAGCCTGTTCTGCGTCCGAATGACGTATCGTTTGTAAAGAAATCGCTCGCGCATGTGATCTTATTTGTTTCAGCTGACGTAAACGTGAATTGGACCACGGCGGCTTTGGAGCAGGTCGACGAAGAGGAACACTGCTGATGATGATTCACCTTTCCGTTGAAATAAACCACTGCATCGTTGACACAGGCAGCCATCTCGAGAGTCGATCCCACGGATTGCCTCACACAATGCTGTGTAATCAGTACGGTGAAAGACCAAGCTTTGCAGATCAACGATATCCTCCAATATTCTAGGCAGCAGTAGCTGAACGGTGACCTCAAGAGCAGGATGATCCCGATCGAGGTTGGTTAATGGTTCCACAGCATTCGAAACAGCACTTTCACGTACGACTTTTTCATTAGCTAACACAAAGTCAAGAATACGACCATTTTGATTAGGAACTGGATTGATTTGCGTTAAACCATGCAGATTGAACCCATCCAACAAAATTGAACTAGGTGCA